GTGGGGGGGGCGCACTGGGGTGTGGGATATCTTAGGTGTGTGGTGGGGGGGGGGGCTGGGGGGGGGGGGCGATGATGGACATCAATTTTTGGAAAAAGTTTTTAAAATTTTTTTTATAACTCTTAAGTTCATGTTTTAGCAAATGGTATTACATTTTCTGGTTATTGGAGGCCAAAAAAAACTGGATAAACCTCAAACATATGCCTAAAATTTACACCGTGTCCTTATTAAGCCAAACCAAACTACCGGTACTGTAAACCAAGCCTGTTTAAAAAAGGAGAGCGTAAAAAATCTATAAAAGTCCAGTATTGTTGAGCCACCATAAGTAGCAACAACTTAATATCAAAAAATGTATTTTTCTGTCACTCTTGGTACAATTGTTTTAATTTTTTGTTGTTGTTGTTGAGTTTCTGAGTTGTTGTTTTATGTATAATTTAAACATTCGGCCACATCATTTCAACCATCATTATTTCATTGAAAAAATAAACGACAGCCAATTGCTATGATTCAGATACTGAATAACTTAATTGTTGGTATGTGTGAGCAGCTTTGTAAATGGGCAGCTGTGACTGAGTGGTTAGAGCAGTCGTCCTTCAATGGGAGAGTTGGGGGTTCATCTCCACCAGCAGTCACATGCCAAAGTGTCCCTGGGCACTGAACCCCTCATTGCCTCTGATGGGTGTCCCATCAGTGTATGAATGTGATCTAAAGCACTGATTAGTCTTGGTAGATATGGTAAGAGTGCTGTATGAATGAGTAAATGAGGGCACAGATTGTGTTTGTAAAGAGTTTTGAATATCTTAAGATAGAAAGTCTTCAATAAGTACAGTCCATTTACTATTTAAATGCATCAGTTTGGGCAATTTCTTTGTCTTCCAGTGTTTGACATGATGCCAAGGAGAAAACAATTAATTTGCGATATAGAAAAAGCAAATGTTCCTTGATCACCTGAGAGAGGTTATACATTTAAGTCCTATCAAGTTTAGTTTGTTTGGAAAGTTTACAAGTGGAAGAAATCCCATGAAAAGTGTACATGTACAGGACATGCATGAGGATAGCAGGACAGTGGTGAGATGTGCTGTAGGAGTGACGGATAGCTTCAAGGTGGAGGTCAGAGAGCCAGCGCCGATCTTTGATGCACTCCCCACTGGGAGTGCATCAAAGATCGGCTCTGAGCCCCTTCTTGTTTGCTCCTCTCGTGATGGACTGACTAACGGATGAGGTCAGGCAGGAATCCCCATTGAGGATGATGTTTTCAGATGATATTGTGATCTACGGTGAGAACAGGGAACATGTGGAAGAGAACTTGGAGAGGTGGAGGTATGCATTTGAAAGAAGGAATGAAAGTCAGCCATAGTAAGACAGAGTACACGTATGTGAATAAGAGGGAGGCTGGTGGAACAGTGAGGCTACAAGGAGAGCGCCTTTCTATTTTATTTCAAGATACTCAAAGCACTTTACACTACAATCTGTGCCCTCATTTACCCATTCATACAGCACTCTACTAGATCTCTACAAAGCTAATTGAACAAATTATTCTAATGAGACTAATCAGTGCTTTTAAATCACATTCATACACTGATGGGACACACATCAGAGGCAATGAGGGGTTCAGTGTCTTGCCCAAGGACACTTCAGCATCTGACTGCTGGTGAATTTGAACCCCCAACTCTCGCATTGGAGGACGACTGCTCTACCACTCAGCCACAGCCGCCCCTCAAAAGTGCAGGACTTCAAGTATTTGGGGTCCACTGTCCAGGAAAATGGGGAATGTGGTAAAGAAGTGAAAAAGAAAGTCCAGGCAGGATGGAGAAAAGTTTCAGGAGTGATTTGTGACAAAACGGTGTCGGCAAAGGTCAAAGGAAAAGTTTAAAAGACAGTGGTGAGACCACCTCTGTTGTATGGTCTGGAGATGGAGACATGGACAAAAAGACAGGAGAAAGGACTGGAAGTGGCAGAAATGAAGATGTTGAGGTCCTTAGGAGTGACATGGATAAGATTAGGAATGAGATCATCAGAGGTACAGCACAGGGTAAACAACTGGGAGATAAAGTTAGAGAGTCCAGACTGAGATGGTCTGGACATTTCCAGAGAAGGGACAGTGGGCATAATGGTAGAAGGATGTTAGAAATGCAGCTGCCAGGAAAAAGACAGAGGATGATCAAAAATGAGATATATGGATGAAGTTGGAGAGGACATGGAGGTAGTTGGAGTGAGGACAGTGGATGCAGAGGACAGAGAGAAATGGAGGAGGATGAATTGCTGTGACGACCCCTGAAGAGGGAGAAGCTGAAAGAAGAAGAAGAAGTTTACAAGTGGAAAAAATTCCATTAAAGACTCATCAAACAATAAATTTGCAAGGTAGAATTTGAAGAAACCTTGAAGACTTTGAACAGAATCGGCCATAATGCACAGTCTCACAAAATGAACAGCAAAGCCTCCTCTGAACTGAATGTGAAGCAGTGTGGTGCAGTATTGATGGTTTAGGCTTGTTTTTCAAAGTTCAATGTGAATTTATTGTCATTTGCATCACATGTGGTCAATGAGGTGGAACAAGATTGTGTACTCAAGGTCCCAGTTACACCCAAGAATAGCAAAAGTATAAAAAAGGAACAGTATAGTAGCCACAGGATTAAGCTAACTCTAAACTTATTGAGTCCATTTATTTTGTTTCCAGAGGTTTGTCTTGCAAAAAAAGTTTCCTAACGATGTGTATGGTCTTATCTTGGTAGTCGTATATACTTGCCCAGGACAGAACGGCAAACCAATATTAAGGGAAAAAAAAATAAATTAAAATGTCTTGTCAGTAGGATGTCACATTTTAATTTGCTAGAATGCAAATTATTCATTTTTGGTGCATTAGAAAATGACTTGATCACCTTTTTTTTTTTTTACTACATTGTCTTATTTTATTTTATTTTTTTACAGAAAGTGAACCAGAGATCAGGATGTCTTCACTGAAAGCTCAGAAAGCGAAATCGTCAACCTACGCTACATTTTCTACTCCTAAAACTTCACGAAGCACTGCTGTGCCGTCCACTACTGAACTTTACCGGACGCTCCGCCTCATACCAGAAAGCAGGTACTGCTCTGTATTTCGTTTCAGTTTGAGAATGACGTTTATTGTGTGCATTGTTTTACTAGGAACTTCACAAACCAGTGTTTTATAGTCATAGATTTTACATTGTGTCAGAATTTACTTGTTAATCTCATCCATTTTTCCCTTTTTAGTTCCTCAAGACACTCAAGTCGAGGAAGCTGGCCCGAGTCCAGTCCGACTGAAGATGGAGAAACTCAAGTGAAGTCTAAAAGAGTTCTCTGTGATGACTCGAATATTTTCACATTTGAAGACGACAGCCTCTCTTAATGGAGCAGCAGTGCCTGATTTTGCTGGATTTTTAAGTCTTTTTTTTTTTTGTAGTGGATTTTAGTATAGATCCATGATTTATCAACAACAACGAACCTTTTTTTTCCTCCCGCAGATGCACAAATCTTTCTCTGAAGTTATTCCAACAAGAAAGCACTTTATAGTCTGTTCATCTCTTCCTCTCATTGATCAACACTGACAGATTAGATTGTGGTTGAAATCACTTTTTAAAGTTTTACTTTGACTTATTTAAATGTATATCATAGGTTTTAATTAAAGTATATGCTGATTAGCTCAAATGACGTTTTTACAAAATAAACGATGTTTTGAAGTTTCTCTGTCTGGCTGTAGCGCCCCCTGGTGTCTGACAATAGTTACTGCAGGACAACCCGGATGTTCATCGGTTTTTTGTTTCAGCAGCTCACCCACACGGCTCTGTTTGAATTTAGATATATAAAGGTAAAACGCGTTCAAAATGTCCAGTTCCTCAAACCTGGCGGCCATGGAAAAAGTGGTACGACAGCTCCGTTTAGAGGCGAGCATAAACAGAGTTAAGGTGAGTGTGTGTTTGTTTTTTTTAATGTCCGAGTTAAAACCGTTACTAGCTAGCAAGGCTAGCTAGGGACAAGCTAGCAAAGTGATGTAACAGCAAGGCGTGTTCAAATAACGTTATTTAGGTAATAAGTTTATAGAATAACCATTTAATTTCATAAATGAAGAATGGGATGTGTTAAACTGGTTGTTATGAGTATCTTAAAATATTTGATTTGTAAAATTGGGACTAATCTAATTCCTCCCACCCTGTTTTGACTTGGCGTGTCTGCATAGCTGTAGATCTCTCCCCCCACACACACACACACAAAATCCAGCATAACATACACAATTTACAATCTCTAAAATCATGTTTCAAACGAAATATTAATATGAATATTAAGTGCTCTACAATGTACCAAATATTACTAGATTCAAAATGACTGTCAAAATTGTTCCTCGCTGTATTTAAAGGCAAAAACCAAAATAATTTGATATAGATTTTTGTCAGTCTAATACTCTTTTCTTTTAATACCTCATGCTTTTTTCATCCCATATATTATGCTGGTGGAGATTCTCAGTCATCCAGGACATGATGAATTCAAAAAGCGTTCAATACAAAAACAACTGGAAATAAAGTCCAGTTGTTTTTGTATTGAACGCTTTTTGAATCCCATATAATATATTAAAGTGGTAATTTATAACTTGGCTACAAGAATCTAAAAGGGAAACCCTTCAATTTACCTATTAATGAACAGGGTAAAAGCCTACATAACTCACTATACATTTAGAAAAAGAAAAGGAGCTTTATAAAGAAATGTATTCTGCACAGAAGACTGTTGGAGTCAGCCTCCCTACCATCACAGATGTCTACACCTCCAGATGCAGTAAGAGGGTCACTTGCATCATGAAGGACCCCACTCACCCAGCGCACACACTCTTTGCCCCGCTCCCTTCAGGAAGGAGGTTAAGAAGCATTAAGTGTGGAACCACTAGACTGAGGAACAGCTTCTACCCTGAAGCTTAGACTCATGAATCTCTAACCAGGATAATCACTGTGAGAAAAAAAGAAAAATCACTAATACCACTTTAATTGGTGATATATGACTTATCAATGCCGCTGATTTCTTGCCTTTAAGCTGCTGTATTCATATCTATTTACTCACTACAGACTCATGTTTAGTCTGCTGCTTAATGTACCATATTATTTTAGATTATTATTGTTTAGTGTGTATCTTAGATTCTTGTATACGATTTCTTTTATACTTATATTTTTGCTATTTTTGGGTGTAACTGGGACCTTTAAATACACAATTTCGTTCCACTTCCTGTATCTCGTGATGTGAATGACAATAAAGAACCTTGGTATTTTATAGCTTAGTGATGTCAAAATAAAATAAAAATTTGAGTTTTGATATATTTTGAAAATTACATTTTATTTTTCCTGTTGTGGGTCAGACCCTCCGTTTCTTCCATCTCTCCCTGTAATTTGAGGCATGCCAACAAATAAAGCAACAATATTTATCTCATAGCCATCACTGTGCAAGAGGCGATGTGGGGGACACACTGGGCAGGTCTCCAGTCCATCACAGGTCCACATAGAGACAACCAGACAAACAACCATTCACTCTCTCTCACACCTAGGGACAATTTAGTTACCAATCAGCCCAACAGTGTTGCTGTTCGGCGTATTGTTTTTGTACTGTTAGTGCTTGGCGTATCTTACTACTTCTTTCTTTTTACAATTTATACTTTTGTTGGATGTAACTGGGACCCTGTGTACACAATTTCGTTCCACCACATGTAACGTGTGGTGTGTATGACAAATAAAGAAACACTGACAGAAAACCCATGCATGCACAGAGAGAACATGCAAACTCCACTCAGAAAGGCCCCCAACCGTGATTTGAACCAGGGTGACCTGCTCGCTGAGAGGCGGCAGCTCTACCACCTGCACCACCGTGCTGTCTCGTAGCTTTAGTTCCATGTAACTGAAAGTGACCACATAAGGGTTTCCTGCAGTTCCAGTTGACTGGTAGTCTTCCTGATGCATCAACTCCACCCAGAAAATAGTCTACAGTATAGCTTTTATAAACCAAGACAGAAAATTACAAACTGTATGAGACATGGCTTTATTAGTTAATCATTTTAAGTCTTGTGTAACTGTATGTATATGGTGAATTCCTCTTCTGTTCCAGGTTTCCCAGGCGGCTGTAGACCTTCAGCAGTTTTGCATGCAGAACGCCTTGCAGGACCCTCTGCTCACTGGCATGACCTCCAGCACAAACCCCTTCAGGCCGCAGAAGGTCTGCGCTTTCTTGTGAAACAAATTTTTTTTTGGTAAGTTTAGCCACACATTGAAGCCATTTGTGCACACTTTTTTCTGACACACCCAATACCAACAATTTTTGTAAGACCCAGAGAGTAGTGAAAACAGATTTTTTTTTTTGGTAGCATTTTCTTTGTTGTATAACAGTGTCAGTTTAATTATCACAGTTTTGACAGTTGAAGGTGTCAATATATAAGGAGCTGCAGCAATTTGTCAAACTTCAGGAAAAATGCAATTAAATCCCATATCTAATCTCTGCTCTTGCCTCTGTTTGTTCTACAGATGTTACAGGGAGTTGTTGATTTCAGCACCGCTCCATGCCAAGCCATTATACTGCCACAGGAAAACAGAAAACAAAGTCATGTCAGGGACAAAGAGGTGTAGTTATTAACAATAGTAGCTTATTGAAGACCTTTTTCATGGCATTGTGTGATTTTTATTTTTAATTAATGTGCCTTTTTTATTCTATTTTGGGCATATTGGTTCTGGATGTTTTGTATTTAATAAAACATTTAAAAATATTTGGTTATTCTCATTTTCCTTCTTTATTACACTATTATCAACCCCTAAAATACCAGGCAAAGCTGCAACTGTCTTCTTAAAAACAGTATGAACATCTTATCTTGCTGCATCAAGATTAAACGGGACAAGGTAAGATGCAACTACAGAATATTAGTTTTGAAAAATTCCTAAAATCTGACACATAAAATGCAGACTTTATAAAAAAAAATAATTCTCATCTTTGCTGCACATATTTTGAGATGGTGAAAATTTAGGAGAATTAGATAAAACAAACAAGTCTTATTTAAAGCAATAGGAATATTTACAAAACGGCTCAAATTTATCCAGTCGTTCAGTGAAACTGATAGCACTGTATTAGCTTTAAAACTAAATTGAGCAAAACAAATAGAAACCCACCAAAACCATTTTGCAATTGTTAACGTAGGCTTCAGTAAATTGACCTTGCACCTCATCGTAAGTTAATAAAAAACTTGTTCATTATAAATAATACTATTTTGGAGACCCAGTATAAATTAGCCTACTTGGAAAAACAGTAGTCTCACAGATGTCTGTGGAAGGTGGAAATTCAGCAGATGCATTTTGTTTCTTTCTGCTCCCTTCAAAGTTTGCCACAGTGAACTAACTCGCATGAGGACTTGGCAATTGTTTTTACACCTGATTCAACCACAGACTACCGAGCTACCACAGCTGTTTGTGTGGAGCAAAGAACTGCCATCTAGGGTGCCCAGGGGAGCAGATGCTGGGGGTTAAAGGTCTTGCTCACGGACACAGTATGAGGCAAATGAGGGTGGACTCGCATCCCTGTGGGTGTTTCACCTTTTCCACCCATATTTTGATGATGGTATAGAGATATGAACCAGTGACCTTCAAATCAGACCCACCTTCTCTACCCTCTGCATCACTACTCCCATTCAGCAGCTATATTAATACCACTATTTGTGGAAGGCATTCCTTATAACGTTATTTAAAACTGGTATTAGACGCTTTATTTTACAGGCATTTCCTAAAACTAATCCACTATTGTTGTCGTCTAATTCAGAGGTGGGCAACATTTTTTTTTCCAAAGGGCCACATCAAGAGGTTTAAAGCAGTCTAAGGGCCACATAAAGAATTGGGAAAATTAATTTTCTTTATGACATATAATTTAGAAGACATTTTTCAGGCTTTGTCTTATTAGCATAGTTAGCAAGCTTTATAAAACATGTCTTTCCATTTAAAATCTTTTAGGAACATAAGATACAGTATTCAGTATTTGATCTGAAGCTCTCAACCTTGACCTCTCCAAGTGGCTTTAAACATCTGTTAAGTTCCTGGCAAAAACCAGTGCAGACTTGTTCCTGTTTTTAGTATTCTACACTGCCTTACAATCAAGCTTTTTTTTTGTTTGTTTTTTTGGGGGGGTACTTTTCTTTTTAATTATCCTTTTAATTATCATTTTATTTTCACTTATTAAAAAACAAATAGTTTTGTATGCATCCTTTACGGTTGTCATCGTTGTCCACTGTTGTCATCACTCTTTGTTAAAATTCAGGTCTCTTGTAAATGAGTCCCAGGCTCAGTGGGATTAACCTGTATAAATAAAGGTTGAATGAAAATAAAATTATGTAAACTGACTCTTGTGACAATATATTATATATGTTAGTGGATATATGCAAAACAAAGTTATATATTTGTATTTCAAAGTTTTGAAGGTTCAGTCTCGTTCTGAAAACGATTTAAAACGTGTTTTTAAAAAGTTTTGCATGCGATGTTTAATTTCCTTAAGTCTTGTTGATAAATTGCTGGGGTGTTTTATTTTATTTTTTTATCAATCTTAAAAAAAATGATAGTTTACTTTTTAACTAAGGACATTGGGGGCCTGATTGAGATTGTCCAAGGGCCAGTTTTGGTCCTCGGGCCTTAAATTACCCACGTTACCAGATTATCTCCAGTGGTCTCCCATGGACCATGAACGCATCACTAGGCTCGCTTGTTTGAACGTCATTTGCTCGCGAGCCCGCCAAGTTCTCAAGTTTCACTCTCGCGAGATGTTAATCGGCGGCTGTCGGATCCGTGCAGCTTCCAGGAGCTCCCGGGGCTGAACCCAGGTCTGTGTCCGTGTCCCGCTCCTACAGCGGTTCAACCAGACCTCGTAACGTGTAAACTGCTACTCGACCAGCCCAATGATATCACCCTCTGAAGAATGAACCATGGGACGGCGTTACTGTGGAAACGACGGTAACCTCTTTTGTTAACCTAGCATGTTTTACGGCTCAGAACAAAATGTTATGCGGGTAATTGATTACGTGTGTGAACATTTAGGATAGTCGGGCTGGCAGCCTGATGTTTCATCTCGGTCCGGCGAGTTATTTGCGTGACACTGTCGTCTAGCTGTTGCTGATGCAACGTTTGGTAGACCTTGCTTTATGTCGGTTGCCATGACACCGCCCGGATCAGTCAAAGCCGTCAGATAATTGGCTCTATTGCTCTGTCGTAGCTGAAATACGACTTTGAACACGATAATGCTCCAGGATGGCGCAACCCAGCTCCTCTGCCTCACAGCCGGCAGCGGTGTTCCTCTTTTCACCCGGGGGGCCTCCAGGCACCAGCTGCCCTTCTCCGTCATCGGCTCTTTGAACGGCGTGCACATGTTCGGGGGAGGACAGGGAGCACTGCTGTCCTGCTGCGACACGGAAGATGGGGGGAAGGTGATGTGGAGGGTGTTCCAAGACAGCGTGATGCTCATCGCTGTAAGTGGAGGTGCAGGACACAGAGAGGAGGAGGTCCGCCTGCAGCGCCTCCTGGAGAACGTGTGGAACTGCATGGTGCTGGTGTTGGGGCAGGATGAGCTGGCAAATGTCAGGAATGTGGAGAGACTAAAGAGGGACTTGCGCTCCTGCTTCAGCCTCATCGATCATCTGCTCGAAGAGAAGCGACCAGGCATCTTTGGGGACCTTACACACTGTGCTGATTCACTGCTGCCACCGAGCCCCACTCTGCTGCAGGAGGCTGTGGATGGATTTGCCCGGGGGGCTGACAGTGAGTTTGGTTGCCTCCTTGTCTACGGGCGGATAGCTGCAGCGACTGAGAAGTGGTGGCGCCTGGTACCACAGGAAGTCATCCTGCTCTCCGCTCTGATACGAACCTTATCTGCATCTGGATCATCCTCTTGTGATTACCCAGTTTACCTTCCTCAAGGCAGCCCCACTGTTGCCTACCGCCTGCTCTGCTTCAGACTGCTCCCTGGAGCGAGTGTGTGCGTGTTGTGTGGTCCCACTCCATCCCTGCACAAAGCTGAGACTGAGCTGGTGGGTTGTTTCTGGTCACCCCTGCTGGAAACACTGAGAAACTGTCTGGATGTTGGAGAGCGCTGCATGCCGGGATCTGTCTCCCTGCGCCCTGATGTTCTGGCACTCCTCCTCATTAACCGTGAAACCCGTCGCTCAGTCTCCTGTGTGCAGACTTCCACTCATCATCCACCATCGCTCTCCAGAACCCGCTGCTGGGAGCTACTGCAGGCCTTCTATATCTTCTGCATATCACGCTACTTCACTCAAGATGACACGTTATGCACTCCCCTGGAGGAGAGGGCCCAGAGAGGCAAAACAGAGGACTTCCTGCTTGGATTCTCCCACCAGCCTCAACAGTGCTATCTAGTTACAGAAGAATGCAAAAGCTTTGGACTTCAGACGCCGCAGCACCAGCTGTTTCTGCTTATGTCACCATCTGCGCCCACTTTTGCTCTACGCGCAATAGCTGCACAAACTCTCTCTCATATAGTTTCAGCCACAGGGTTTTAACGGTTGTTTGTCAAAGCGTTTCTTTTCTTTCATAAGAGGTTCAGTGTTTAACTGTAGCAACTTAATCAAAACTTTTCAGCACAAGAGAAGTTCGAATAACTTAACTTGAATTTGTGTTTTGATTTTTCTTTATTGCAGACTGCAAAGTTATACAATTGTCAAAAAAAAAATAGATTTAGGGGGTGGGGGGATCACTTTCCATTGTTTTTTTTTTGTAAAAACAATTTATTATTTTACCAATTAGAATGAATGAAATGTATTCTGTATTTTAAGGGGTAAATACCTACCTTTGTAACACTGTTTTAAAGAAATGAACACGCATTTAAATGTATTATGTGAAGTGCTTTGATTATTTTTGTTAAATGGAGATAAATTACTCTTGTATTTGTTGCTTTGAAGCTGCTTCAGTGGTAACAGATCTTGACAGACTTGTATTCTCACATGCAGAGAGGGTAACGACATTGATAATAATGACAATGAGAACCGGCTGGTAATACTTTCAGCACATCAAAACATTTGAATCGCAATCAAAAGGATATTTATGTTTGTTCTGTTGATCCGTTTCAAATAAATGTGACTTGCTACACCTTTTACATGAAGTCCACACCTGTTTTACAAACAAGAATCTGAAAACATAACCTATTATAGAAAGATGCAGACTCAGGGAATGCAGATCGCTAAATAGCTGCTGAAGAAGCTGAAATCGAGCTGTTGCTAGCCTTCTAACAAAGGCTAGCTAAATGCAAAAATAGCAAAATGCTAGCTAATTTAGACAAAAAGCTAAGTGAAAGTTAAATTTGCAAAAAGATTGTAGTAAAATCCTACCTAAAAAGTTAAAAGTTGCAACAAGGTTGCAGAATAAGGGCAAAAAGTAGTTCAATCTTTTGCTAAATGCTAAAGTAGCAAAAAGCTAAGTAGTTATAATAAAAGGCTAACCGTAGCAAAAGACTAACCAGGAGTTAAAAATAACAAAATGTTAGCCTAAAAATTTAAGTAGCATAAGATGGAAAAAAAGGTTCAAGGTTCTGTATTGTCATTCACATCACATATGGTACATGAGGTGGAACGAAATTATGTACTCAAGGTCCCAGTTACACCCAAAAATAGCAAAAATATAAAGTATAAAAAGGAACAGTATATGGATCTAAGCTATACGCTAAGATAAACGCTAAACGAACGCTAAACGATACGCTAAAAGGTCTAAGATATACGCTAAACACTAATACAGTAATGTAAAATAATACGGTATATTAAACAGCAGCCCGAACATGAGTCTGTAGTGAGCAGATGGGTACGAATACAGCAGCATAAAGGCAAGAGATCAGCAGCATGGATAATCAGCAGCACAGATAAGTCGCATGTCACCAATTAAAGTGGCATTACAGGGATTTTTTTTCCTATAGTGATGATCCTGATTAGGGATTTATGAGTACCAGCAAGTATACTGAATAAGTGTTTAAAAAGAACAAGGTGTAAACATTGAAGAGAGATGAAGATAAACTGAAGAGTGTACATGAAAGAAAAGTAACACACCTGTCTCCTGAATGAGTGGAAAGTTTTGATTTACGCAATAGCAAAGTATGCAGAAGTAGTTTGATTGCAAAAAAAAAAAAAAACCTACAGAAAACTAAAAACAAAAAAGTGTGAATGCTGAATCAGCAAAACAGAAAGTACCCCACGGGTGAAATCATCCGAGAGGATCTGCTACAACACTGAATGTGTGCTCTATGGACTCTTCTGTTAGAATTGAGTAACATCCAAGTTACTTTTTTTTTTTCTGAACCTGATTAATCATCAGTTTCTGGGACATGAGCCCAGCAGAAACTAGTCTGCTCCTCTGGAGGGGTCTCCAATCTATAGGTTCTGCAATGTCGGATCACGTGATTCGCTTTAATTGACTTAATGAGAAACAGGAACTTCTGGTTAAGGCAGGAAGACATGAAGGTGTTCATTCCAGGAGGAATGAAGCTCAGCAGCATCTGAGTCTCCACCCTGAGACAGGATAAGAAAACTAAAAGTTTATTTTATTTGAGCCAGGATTGTAATGTGGTTCTGATGAGCAGGTGGGAGGGTTGTGTTATCGCGCAGGGGGCAGGATCGAGATACTTTCACTGGAGGAACTTTGCCTTCTAAACTTTACAGGAGACAAGTTTCAGGCGCGCGGACGTTGCTTAGTTACCGCGCGCTGCTTCTGTCTTTTTATTTTTTCATTTAAAAAGCGGATTTGTTGAATCCGGTTTGGAAAAGTCCAAAGGTCCGAGTCATATAAGGAGCGTCGCGGTGCCAGCAGTCGCACAGCTTTGATTTCTCTCCTGTCATTCGGGTCGCAGCCGGTTAAATTCTCTTCAACTTGTTTTTACATCAAAGAGCCGCGTGAATAAAAATGTCAGCCACGCGCCAGCTGCTTCGCGCCAACCTCCGGCTCCTGAGCCCCGCGCGGAGCGCGCTGCTGGCGGGCGGGTCGCAGCGGTCCCCCGGCGAACAAAGTTCTCGCTTCGGCTCCCTGACTTCTCTGTCCTCCTCCTCCTCATCTTCTACCGACAGAGCCTTATCGAGTCTGAGCACCACGCGACGTGGACTTCCCAAAGAGAAAATGTCCGAGAACGGGATGATGTCCCGGGCCAAGGTGCTGACCATCGACACCATGAACCCCACCGTGAAGAAGGTGGAGTACGCCGTGCGTGGGCCCATCGTGCAGAGAGCCGTGGAGCTGGAGAGGGAGCTCAGTGAGGTGAGTGGATCCTTCAAGTCCACTGTCATTTATACTGTCCTCTTTCAGATGATTCAGTTGAGGAAACTCAAGTGTTTTCTGAAGATCAAGATCTGCTCCATCTTCCTGTTATTGATTTTAAAGCATAAAGGGTTCAAACAGTTTTCTCTTCAGTTAGTTATAAACTTGATCTTTCTTGATAAGGAAGATCAAAGTTGATACTGTGCAGTAGATCTTTGTTAGTTCTGTTTTAAAATACTTTTTTCTTTCTTTATCTCCTGCTTTTTATTAGTGCTTCACTACACCCAACATTTAATTGATGTACATAGGTTGCATTTATTGATTCTCCTAAATTAAAATGGTTTCTGTAGATTTTATTTATTTTTTAATCTCTGAACACTTGAACTCACAAGTTCAGCCTCTATCATAAAGCATGTATTTTCCAGAGTCACAAATTATCCCTGAGTTTTTTTTTTTTTTTTCTCAGAGCTCAGCTTTCACTCCGTTTAGGATGATGTGGCAGCTGCTAGTGTACCGAGTGCAGTCTGGTGTAAAAGAAAGAGAAAACTGTTCTCTCTTGAGTGCTTTGTTCAGGAAAGGATGGTTATGTGACCGGGTTCTGCAGTGTGGTCCGCAGGGACTGAAATGATAGCGGTAACTTCTTTAGCCGATGGTTCACTGGTCCCAACAATGTTATTTTCTGTTTACTCGGATCCTTGTCCCGAGCTGATCCCATTCTTTATTCAGGCCTTCATCCGGTTCATTTCTTTATTTTTCTCAAACGTACCAAGTTTCACCGGGCGTGATTGATGTCTCAGCGCACAAAAAGCAGAAGATATGATGAGTTGAAGCCAGCAGGTAAAACATGACACTGAGGGATCTGGTGCATTTTTAGTAGAGAAGTGATGCAATACTCTTAATATCTTGCAGCTGAGGATAGTCTACCGTACTTGCCGCCGTACATGTCGCACCGCCGTTTAAGTCGCATCAGTCCAAAAATGTCAAATAAAATGGAAAAAACACAAGTCGCATCTATTACGCGTCACTGCTGACCACCCGGTGTTGTGTCAAAAATCAATTTGCTGCCAAATGGCGGCTGCGGGAGCCTGCGCGGGAGGACTTTAACAAGATTAACGCTTAAAAACAATTATTTGTTTGCTCGACATTATAGAAAAGATGTGTCTCAGTTGACTTTTTTCTTAATAAATGCACTTTAACGGTCAAATCCGCTGCATTTCGCCTGGGCGGCGCAGCGAAATGCAGCTGATTTGATGTTTGCTCCAAACATGGCGAGCCAAGTGTCTCGTTAATAACCACTTTTACCTAATAATGAGACACTTTGCTTGCCATTTTGCTCGAGGGCCCTCTAACCACTGAAAATGGTAGTGTTCAATATTTTCCATGCCAGATCGAATGAAATTGTCAGATCTCAGACAAAAATTGGGTTATAAATATGGGAAAAAAAACGTACATTAGTCGCTTCGGTGTATAAGTTGCAGGACTTGCAAATTTATGCCAAAAGGTGCGACTTATACGGCGAAAAATACGGTAGCTATTTATTAGATGTTCAGTTTAGGACAGAGGAGGTTCAGCAGCTTTTCTTTCCCAAATGTCTCCAGAAGAGTTGCATTAACTTTCAGCTCTCAGTTTGTTTAGGACTTTGCAGAACTAGAACTGAGCAGCTCTTGTTCTCATTTTTAGTAGCACAAAGCTCTCTTCTGCTTTTATCTAACTTTGTTCTGGATGGTGTTGGGTTACTTTAGGAAACAGGTCATTGTGGTTTTCTTACTTTTGTCTGGGTCTTAATCACACCTGAAGGTACAGTGTGGTTCCCTACTCCTGTTACCAACACGTTGAGTTTTGTAGGGCTGAGACAGTGCAGGTGCTGTTCACAGTTCGCACAGACACTGAGCGAGTGTACGGAGAGCTCTCTGATAAAGGCTGTCATGTGCAGTTTGTTACATAGGGCTCTTTGTTTTATCTTTAATGAGCCCCCAGTTGATAATGAATGAGGATCTTTTCAGTGTGTCACCATGGTAACAGACACAAAGCGCTTTCATCTTTTTAGTTTCTATCAAATGTTATCCTAATAAAATGCAGCTTTTTTTTTTTTTTTTTTTTGTCAGCGATGGAGGACATTGAACATCTGCCCTTTTTGTGAAAATAGTTTGTTTCCAGAAGGGCCCCACGAATGGCGGGGCTCCTTCACAAAGGGGAGTTTTTTGTGTTTTTGGATGTTATTGGCTCAGCCGGAGAGACGCCTCTTAAGTGCGACCAATGACGGAGCCAACAGCCCAGGTTTCATAAGCTGAACTGTCCAAATCAAACAAACGGGCTGTTCTGATTGCTGCAGGATGTCACGGGTTTGTGAGGTTTCTCTGGTGACTTCTCTGCAGTCATGCTGTTTGTAATATCTGACGTGAGCAGCAGGTCTTTGTGCTGTGTCAGGGGTCCCAGCTGCCCCACAGATTATCTTTCAGAAATATTACGGCATTGGCCTGGAGGACAGTAACTGAATACTTTTAGTTTAGTAAGACCCTGAACTATTTTTATTACTGCTGTGTCAGCTCTTGTATCTTTTTTTTCATTTCAGTTTACACTTTATGATGCGTGTTTCTGAGGTAATGCGTGAGAACACCCAACTGTATGATAAGATGGTTTGTTCAGGTCACAACTTTGACCCAATGTTCACACAGTCTGTCCTCATCAAGGTTGTTGCACGTGCACCGAGCAGTGGTTCGTGTCCACAGTAGCTGCTCTGAACATCGAGTTGTTGTTGTAACTCGGATTGTTAAATTGTTTAAGTACTGTAGACATTCTCCGGTTCCCCAAATCTCATAATCTGCTTTCCTGAAGTATGAAAGATTATTTTGATTATATTTTCTAGCTCCCAGCTCATGTTTTTAATTCCTTTTTTCTTTCCCTCCTATTTCTTCCGAAGTCAGGCGTGTCTTTGGAAAGCAAATGAAAAAAGAAGTACAACACGAACCATTTGAACCAGTCGCTGTAATAAAAAATAAAAAAAAAGGAGTGGCGCAAAGGAGCTGTATAATATTCTCGGTTGTCTAGTTTTTATGTGAGGTTATTTCATGAGAAAGTTTTACGAAATTTAGATTAGAATAACATTCAGGAAAATGCATATAAGACAGTGAAACAAACGTGAGTGGATAGCTCTTTAATACTTTATTTGAGTGAGTCATGAGTGTGCTGTTCTTTTAGTCTCCTTGTGTTCCTTGATAGCATTTTTGTGTATTTGTGTGAAGCCATGCTGCTCAGTTGTGTTGGAGCTTCAGTTGTAGTTACTTTATATATGTAAAAATTAGGGATGCACAATATTATCTGGTATCGGCCGATATTAGCGATAAAGTTAAAAATCGGACATCGGCCATTCCATCAAAATAACTCACCGATATAAAAGTCACTGTTTTTTAATATATATTTTATAGAGTGTTGCATCATTTTCAGCCTCCTTTTTGGCATCTGCATTTGGTAGCAGGCTAAACTGAGAAAGGCCATGCCGAATAATGTATTTTAATTTCACAGCAGAGGAAGCTATGTAGTCTCTGTAAGTAGGTCTAGAAAAATATCGGTACTGGTATCGGGCATCAACCAAAAATCCAATATCGTGCATCCTTGGTAAAAATATTCTGCTCAGAAACGTTCGTTTCCACAGAACGTTTTGTACATTTCTCTTTCTGGTTGTCAGGGGATGAAGAAACCGTTCGCAGAAGTCATTAAAGCCAACATCGGTGACGCCCACGCCATGGGCCAGCAGCCGATCACTTTCTTCCGGCAGGTCAGCTTCCATGCCCCCCCCCCCCCCCAAACGTTTACTCTAAATATAGCTACATTAGTTTCCTGTTCTATTTAAAACTGATTACAGTAGTCCCTAGAAAAATTAGAGCCAGTTTGTCTTACTGCACTGTGTAAAATGCTGTTTCCCCCCCCCCATCCTTTTGCCTACCCATTGTGTTGGTTTTTAGGTGCTGGCTCTCTGCTCCTACCCTGAACTGCTGAGTGACAGCACATTCCCCGAAGATGCTAAAAGTAGAGCATGTCGCATTCTGAACTCATGTGGAGGGAACAGTATGGGTGCGTATGAATGTGATTGGTTATGATGTCAACTCAATGAGCTTTATCATACCCTGTTTGCTAATTATCACATTTATACACCAGCTGGATGCTATATCTCTGTTGATTCATTTTTTTTTATAGCTGTATTAAAGCATAATTTCTGTTTGTATTTCCCCTCAGGCTCCTATAGCCCCAGTCAAGGTATAGAATCTGTGCGTCAGGATGTGGCTCGTTACGTCGAGCGGCGGGACGGCGGTGTGCCCTGCGATCCAGACAATATTTACCTCACAACGGGCGCCAGCGACGGCATCGTGGTACAACTCTTATTCTGTCTCGTGTCTAAAATGAGTTATTCATCTCTCTCAAAATGAGATTTGTGTTTTAAACAAAATTACAATCGGAGTTTGCAAAAGTCTTGAGCAAGCTCCGTTCTTTCACACAATAAATCTTGTCCAATAACTTTAGAGAAATGACATTCTTTGGGCAAAAAGGCTGTTTTATAGTTCTTAAAATGATTTTTCAAGTAGTTTTGCAGCAGCACACAAAAGAGAACGGGGAACAAATTATGTCTTCAAAAGGCTGCTGTTAACAAAAGTTCAACTATTTTAAAATAATTGTTTGCTACGTAACAGAATAGAATTTAATTTTTTTATTTTTAAGATTTGTAGACACAACACAGGCTCATTGAGTTTAGGAGGGTTTTTTTGGGGGGGCCTTGAATAATTCCCCATGTCTGTTAAGTGGTTAAAAATAAAAGCTGTAAGTTGTCCGGTTCAAAAATTGGTCAGTAAAAAAAACTAAATCATAATAATAATAATAATGATGGATAGATTAATAAATAAAAAAATAAAGCCAGTGTCAAAAGGAAAACCTGGAGAACTATTGCCCAAACCCCCTGCTGCCCTTGGGTCAAAATAACTCCTGGAAGCCATCTCTAAAATTAAAAGTAGAACTCAACCTTCAGCTAGCAAGTTTGCACTGTACTGTAACTGTTGTGTAACATTTTAATGGTTTAGTCTTTCAGCGATGTGTCCATTTATGTTCAGCCATTAACCGGTCGATTTTTATTTTTGTTTCTGTCTTTTCTTTGTGCTGCACTCAGACCATGCTGAAGCTGTTGGTGTGCGGCGAGGGTACAATGCGTACAGGCGTTATGATCTCGATACCTCAGTATCCCCTGTATTCTGCTGCGCTGGCTGAACTCGGTGCTGTACAAATCAATTATTACCTTAATGAGGAGAAGTGCTGGAGTTTGGACATCACTGAGCTGCAGCGTGCTTTGGATGAGGCCAGACTCTACTGCAACCCCCGAGCTCTGTGCATCATCAACCCCGGAAACCCTACAGGTACGTTACTGCGATTTGTTCAAATGTACCAGCCAGGTTCACCGTTATGACGTTAGGTTGCAATTAATAATCTATATAAGTGTTTTATTAGAAACACTGGGCGGAAATACAGAGAGGAATGAACTTTACATTATACAAAAAAGATGAATTTGTTGAGACTTATATGCTTTGTTCTAGATATTCAACAATTGCAATTAAAAATTAGTTTTTTTCCTAAAAAAGTTTTTAAAATGTGGGGTTTATTCAGTAATCTAATGATTTGCATTTGATTGATTTGGAGCTGGAGCCTCTGTTTAGCTTTATTTTTATTTAAAAAGCATCAAAAGAATAAAAAAATCCAATAGTTTTACAGAACAAACGCATCCATTTTCCCTCATTTTGATCTCCTTTCTGGGATTATATTAACTTATATTAAAATTACTTTCCTGAAAAATTACACCAAGATAAGAGATGCAAAAATGATTTATCTTTTAAGATGTACTATATAATTTCTGCCACTAGATGGCAGCAGAACAGCAGCTCTCCTCAGCTACAGCTGTGTAACAGACCTTTTTCTTTTTCCCAGGCCAAGTTCAGAGCAGAGAGTGCATAGAGGATGTGATTCGATTTGCTGCTAAAGAGCGTCTCTTCCTCATGGCTGATGAGGTACCGTCTCTCATGGCATTTATTAGTTCTCTGCAGGGCTGTTCTTTAAAATCAAACCTCTACCTGCTTCAGTTCTCCCTCAGCCTCTGATTTCTGACCTTCTGTCTCACACGCACAGGTGTACCAGGATAATGTGTACGCCGAGGGTTGCCATTTTCACTCATTTAAAAAGGTTCTGTTTGAGATGGGACCAGAATACTCAGAAACTGTTGAACTGGCATCATTCCACTCCACCTCAAAGTGTTACATGGGAGAGTAAGTTTTTCACACCTGAGCAAAAATCAGATTTATGATTGCTTAAATATCTTGTTGTATTTCTGTTCACATCTTGGTCAAACTCTGACCTTCTCTCCTCTCAGGTGTGGCTTCCGTGGAGGCTACATGGAGATAATAAACATGGACGATGACGTGAAGGCACAGCTGAACAAGCTGATATCAGTCCGTCTTTGCCCTCCTGTTCCAGGACAGGCTCTAATGGACCTGGTGGTCAACCCCCCGCAGCCTGGGGAGCCTTCATATGAACGTTTTATCATGGTAGGATACAGGATTTACAAATGTTCTGTGACGTGTATTCTTTAACATATTTACATCATTATTTATTTCTAATTAAATGGCACAATGCTGTTGATTTATAAAATTTGTATTTAATGTTATTGCGCCAATTGGAAGTTTTTCTTATGAAAACACAATTTCTTGAATAGAATGTAAAATTGGACTTTCTCTTGATTCTTGAAGATGCTTTACCTCCCATCCTAAAGTCTTCTTCACTTCTGACAATGGTTCAGAACTTTCAGGTTTATTACAATCCCAGTTAAAGGATCATCTGAGTCACTGATCCACTTGAGCCATTTGGATCATTGTCACTTTTTTAAGATGTTTACGAACATGTGAGGTGGTTTTGGTCACATGTTGTAAGATGGGAATGGTTCTGAACCCGCCCGGGGAGGAGAATGAAGATTTGAGGGGATGGATAGGTGTTACCTGAGGCCTGACAGTTTCACAGTCGAGCAGACCTTACATTGTGCACACGAAACTCATCACAGGTTGATCATCTCCCAAGTTACAATGACTGAAAACATTCACACGATGGACGGGCAGGTCGGTGCCTCCTCTCCTTAGTGTGACTGTTCCAACAGTAACAAGTCTGAAACTGATTATTCATTGTGGTGAGTTTCCAGCAAACTGGTCCTCTTTGCTAATTCAGAGCCAGTGTTTGATTTTTTTTTTTTGTTTGTTTTAATCTTTATTTGTTTTGACTACTTAAGTACTGGCTCCAGCACTGAAAAACCGGTCTCTCAATCATTAACTCTTTGCTGGGTTAGAAGGATGGAGGTGGGATTGCTAACACCAGTGACCTACTGAAATCTTGGGGGCACCATGTTTAAAAAGTTCAGCTGTAAGTCTGCTTATTTTAGGTGGTAAACATTAAAGTTTCATCAGAGTTCATGCTCAGTAATCCAGGTAAAAAAATCCAGCAATGTTGAGTCGGGTCATCTGGACGGTTTCTTTTCTTCTTGTTGAGAGGTTTCATCCTTCATCCAAAGGACTTCGTCAGTCCGAGGAGCCACAACAAACTGAGTCACACAAGCAGCACACTCCCATAGTGAACCAGCCAGTTTGCTGGTGATAAGATGGTTTCCTGCCCTCTCCCCTGTCGACTCCTCCGAGGCAGCCATAGCCAAAGTGGTTCAATACATCAAAGTTCACGATGAGACGTTGGACTGATGAAGTCCTTTTGGATGAAGGACGAAACATCTCAATTAAAAGAAAACAAATCGTCCAGATGACCTGACTGAACATTGTTTGATTATTAAAGTTTCTTTTAGCAGCTCCCTTCTTCAGCGAGCAAACCTGCATCATAGATTTGTCAATTGTTTGAAGCCGTATGCCCTTCCTGCCACAACCTGGGCTCGAACCTGCAACCTCTGGATTATAAAACCGCGGCACTGACCACCGAGCTTAAGGAGTAGAATTAGCACTGGATTAACAGAAGCTCGTGTTGTTTCTTTGATTTTAGTTTTTATACCAGCACTCACCATCTGGTCAGTGCATGTCAGAGAGCTGCAGTCACAGCTTCTGTTTTCACCTGGATTTATTGACAACACTTGCAACTCCATTTATAAAAACTGTGTTTTTAGGGAACATTCCCAAACACCACTTAAGAAAACGTTGAAAAACTAGACTTCTGCTTGGAGGAGTAATGAACCGAACATGGTGGTCTGTGTTGAATCTGTGTCCTCCTGAAATCTGATGAACTTTCATCAAAAGGAGGATCACATTTGTTGCATCATTTTTGGTTGCTCTTTGTTGTTTTTATTCTTCTTATAGAATTATTTAAGGCCCAGCTCTGGTCTTTATCCATTTTAGTTTAAAACCCCTGTTTTAGAGCTAAATCAGACTTTTAATGAGAAGTGAATATCTTCAAGAAACCAGATGTCCAGGCGTCTTCTGATCAAGGATTGAATAGCCTCGGTGACTGAGAATCTCTGCATCATCTCAACATAATATTAATAATTTTAACACAGAGAATCCTGGAATTAGATTTTTTTTGTTTTAAATTCCAGTAACATTCATATTTTTTACACAGTATATTTTCTCTCACTCTTCCAGGAACGTACAGCCACGTTGAGCACCTTGGCAGAGAAGGCCAAGCTTACGGAGCAGGTTCTGAACACTGTGCAGGGCATCAGCTGCAATCCTGTGCAGGGTGCGATGTACTCCTTTCCTTCCATAACCATCCCTGAAAAGGCCATCAAAGAAGCCATGGTTAGTCCTGAATCTTCTCCTCAACTGTTCCAATTATTAAAGTTTCATTGCATTGTCGTCTTACGGTAATTAAACTGATTAGGAACAGCAAAAAATGAGAAGTAATTTTTCCCAACACACTTCAATCTACCAGTAATTCTTGTTTTTCATCATTATTCTGTGCCCTCATCAGCCGTCAGTGTACTAATGCAATCATTATTAGAGCTGCCATTAAATATCAACAATGGAAGTAGAGCTCTGAGGTAGACTGAATAATAAAACTTGTCCACGGTGCTGTGCATCCACCACACTGTTTGCTAAAGAGACACAATGATTTCCAATAGCTTGCAGTAGCCGTTCTGTCTTACAGTCGACTGCTCTCTGGGTATTTCAGTGTGGGTTGAGGAGAAGAGCCACTGAGAAACTGATTAGTGGTTCAGAGGAGAAGGTCGGAGCCACCTGACCTACTGACACCTGATCAATTCCACCGACTCTGCCCACACTCTGTTTAATACGTTCCTTTAAAACACTCCCGCGTGCAAAGAAGAAAGAGCTTAGTTATATATTTAATTACGAGCAGATTTTAAAGAGCTACTGAGAAACATACTGAGATTTATTTTTTTTACTGACATATTTCTGAGGTTAAAGTGTTTTTGATCTTTTGATCCAAACATATCTGAATGAATCTGTAGAAGTGGAGCACAAAAACGGAGGTGAAAAGGGCCGCTAAAGTGCAGAAATAAATCTTATTAACGCAGTAAGACTTCTGGGAAGTGTTGATCAGAACTATGACTAATGAACTGATTCATTTAATGTGGTAAGTGCAGCATTAAACTTTGGCTTCAAAGGGTGACTAAAGTGAGCATTTTGAGCTAAAAAAATAAAGGTCTAATTCATCAGAAAATAAATTTTATCTAAATAAAAAATGTAATCTTTGTACTAAATTAAAGTCAAACCAGTGAATAAAGTTCCAACGTTCAAATGTGGCATAAATCTGAAAAGCTCTTGAAAGCAATATTCACTTGAAAATCATTCGTACTCCCTTATTAAATAACACTAAAGTCATATGTGGATTATCAAGCTCCATTCATAGAAATGTTCTTGCTTTGTTAGGAAATGGGACAGCAGCCAGACATGTTTTACTGCATGAAGATGCTGGAAGAGACGGGAATCTGCCTCGTACCTGGAAGCGGGTTTGGTCAGAAGGATGGCACCTACCACTTTAGGTACAGGACACTTTTGTACTTTATTTATGATTGTGACATGAATTATTAATCTAATCATCATTTCAACATTAGGTGTTTTGTTTTGCTGTTTATATAAAAAAAAAAGTCAGTAAAGTTGCATAAAAAATAACGTACAAACGGGAGGACATGTCTTATGATAATGTTCTTTAAATATAATTTCTTCTAGTGTAGAAACGGACAAATCATTGAACAAAATGCGATCGTGCTTTTCTGGCTGTACAGTCTGAGTTTTCTGTAGACGGATGTGTAGAGAAGAAGAGTTGGCAACCATTCACACACTTCCAGCTCTGCTAAAATAAAGACTGACAAAAAGCAGCAAGCTTGCTGCAGTTCAAAGGTCATCAAATGTTGAACGCCTGTTCCTAACTTTTCGAAACACGTTAACCCCACCTGTTCCAAGCTCTAGTTAAATATTCTAAAATATTGCTCCTCTTCCTCTCTTCCACCCAGAATGACCATCTTGCCACCGACAGACAAGCTGAAGGTCCTGCTGAACAAAGTCCAGGAGTTCCACCAGAAGTTCACCCAGCAGTACTCTTAAAATTCTCTCTCGCAGAAGAGGGACCCGATGCCAACTCACGACAAAAAGCAAAAGCCAATAAAAGTCGATTTGTTTCCAATAAGTGCCTTTTCTGCGATGTGGTCGGACCATTTCGAGCGGTCGGCGTGGACGATGCGGACCTCCCTCGCTGTTGAGCGTCAAACCACCAAACAAAACTGGAATGAAAAGTTTTGATGCAAAAAAAAAAAAAAAGGCTTAATGTATTATCTGTGATGTTTCAATATTGTAAGGATGTATATACTCTGAAGAACCTGTTAATGTAAAACTAACAAGAAAAAGAAGCCGATGCTGCTTATAAACTTAGAACTGATTCATATCCTGCAAATGCACCCGATGAGGAGAATTCACTGAAAAAGTTACTTGCATGATATTTCTGTAAGACACGTTTGTCGGGCATTCATAAATGTACCAAGTTGTTTTACATTAACGTTTACTTTTTCATTTTAGACTAAAAAAAATACACGTTTTTTACTTTGAAACATCTTTAAAGCCATCTTTACGGCATTAGACATTTTTTATTGTTTATATAAAGTTGTCGTTTTCACAACTCTGTCATTTTAACTTAATTTTAGATGATAAATTATACTAATTGAGCAGATTATTTTGAGCATTTTTAAGTTGAATGCTGATTTATATGTTTGTCATTTCCCACCTGTTTTGTTGTAAATAGTAAAGCTGAAAGAAACTGAAAGCTGATGGGTAAATAATAATGATGGTTTCTGAATGATGGCACCTCTGCCTTTTTTGGTTAACTTTTTTCTTTTATTTAAATAAAACCAAGAAACTCTGCCCTGTTGAATGAGCGTCTGCTGTTTCAGCCTGAATAGAGCTTGTTGGAGCCTGTGGTGTAATTCTGGCAAACTCTTTATTAAAATTGCTGTAAAAATGAGATTTATTAAACACGTCATTGACTGATTTTTATCACTCTTTAAAATGTAAAACATTTTATTGGAAAAAAAATAACTCAAAAACTTAATTATTGCGCCTTCAGCATCAGTGTAAGTTATTAAAAAAAAACAATTGTTTATTCATGAATTCTGGTTGTCCCAAATAATTCTGGCCTGGCATATTTTCTACCTTTCAATGTGTACGTTTTAACTGACTAAAAAGTTTATTTCAACAGAAAATTAATAATCGTGGAAAACCGACATTACTTTGGGATTATTATCCTAAAAAATGTGAAACATTTTTCAAATTACTACTTGAATTTTCCATATGCTGATGATGCTGATATTTGTCAGAAGAAAAGCCAAATGTAGATTATGATTCTTCATGTAAAAAAAAGTTTTGTTCATGATCACCCACAAGGTGAACTGGCATGTTTGTTAGCAAAATATCTTTGTCTCATGGTGGCAAACACATAATTACTTATAACTGTCAATATTAGAGCTCTAGAACTGAAATGTGAGTCATGTCCAACTTATACTGTGGAAGAGCTGGTTTTTAACTGCCATTAAATATTGGAGTCAACTCCGTGTTGGCAAAATATCTCATCAAACACAACTGACTTTAATGGAAATCTCAAACTAGGATGCGTTTATAACCCAGTTCAAGATGGCCGCCACAATCAGCTGACCTCAGCCAACACAAAATAACTACCGTATTTTTCGGACTATAAGGCGCACTTAAAATCCTTTAATTTTCTCAAAAATTGACAGTGAGCCTTTTAATCAGGTGCACCTTATGTATTAATTCTGGTTGTGCTTACTGGCCTCGAACTGATTTTATGTGGTTATTGTGAATGAGTTGAATAAAGTTTGACTTATCTGATTGTTTTGTTTCGCTTAATGCGCCTTATCTGAAAAATACGGTAACCCAACCAATTTTACAGATGTTGAGCTGCAGCTGGTGGTAGTAACCATCAAACATAAACAAATCAAAGCTGATCATTTAAACCTTCATGACATTAAAATAAATCAAGAATAACAGACAGTGCGGACTGCACAATAAAAACAGTGTACTTGATTACATTGAAGTGAAGTGGGGTTCTGTGAAAAGCTTATAAACAGTGAATATCCTACCTGTTCTTGATAATAATTTGAACAATCTTGATTTGAGGAAATAGTTTGATTCGGACCTGAATGATGGACTAATGACTAGTCTGAGCAACAACCTTAATCTACTCATTAAAATGTCAACGTGGTTCACACAAATACTATTTTATACACTTTTATGATGCTTCATTTAAACAGTTATTCCAGGAGAAATGTATATTTCTTAAATTACCCCAGGCTGTGCTGGAAATGCTACAGCTAGCTGCTGCTGGACTGTATGTAAAACCCTAAATCTGAAAAAAACTGTGACATTGTGTAAAATGTAAACCGAGGTAGAATTAATACAAATCTTGAACCATATCTTATTCTCAATAAAACATAACAAATACAGCAATGTTTAACATAAAAATATGTACAATTTTAGGGAACAAACACAAAAAGAACTAAAGAACCGTATTTTTCTGATTATAAGGCGCATTAAGTGAAACAAGTTCATTTTGACAGATTTTTGAGCACGGTGCACCACATAAAATCAGTTCGAGGTCAGTAAGCACAACCAGTATTAATACATAAGGAGCACCAAATTATAAGGGTCACTGTTGATTTTTGAGAAAATTAAAGGATTTTAAGTGCGCCTTATAGGCTGAAAAATACTGTAAGTTTGTATTTTATGGCAGCAAAACATCTCTGAAAAGTTGAGACCGTGGCAACAAAAGTCTGCAAATGTCACAATTGTATGAGATTGGACTCAGGAAATGCAGACGGACCCAAGCAGCCTAAGTAAAAAAAACAAACAAACTGTATTTTAACAAAAACAAAGGCTAGAGGAAAAAACTGATACTGGAAGGCACAAGGAGGCTCGAGGAGCTACAGAGAGAGCTGGACGTGGTGTGTAAACACATAAATCTCCACTGAGGAGCGACTGAAGACAACAATTCAAAGGACTGGGGCTGATGGGAGAAGTGGCTGCAGCTGTGACAGGTGAAACAGGGAGTGGGTGTAGATGATCAGAGACTGGGAATAATTTACTCGGAAGCAAGGAACAAACTAAACAAAGACAAATAGAAGCTAAACACCATCAGAATAATCAAAATAAAACCCAAAACAGAAACCAAAACCTGAAAAAATGAACGCAAAAGCAGGTGGCCTGGACACGAATCAGCTTAATGCAACAAATTAAGTTAATATGGGCGACAGGTCTGTAGGAGGACTGGGTATAAAAAGAGCATTTCTGCAAAAAGCTGTCTAAAAATCCATCCATCCATTATCTTTTATCCACTTCTTCCATTTTGGGTCACGGGGGTCGCCGGTGCCCATGTCCAGCAATCATTGTGCAAGGGGCGGGGTACATCCTGGACAGGTCTCCAGTCCATCACAGGGACACATAGAGACAAACAACCATTCACTCTCACCTAGGGACAATTTAGAGTTACAATCAGCCTAACATGCATGTTTTTGGTCTGTGGGAGGAAACCGGAGCACCCGGAGAAAACCCACGCATGCACAGAGAGAACATGCAAACTCCACCCAGAAAGGCTCCTGGACCGGGGTTTGAACCAGGGACCTGCTTGCTGAGAGGCAGCAGCTCTACCAGTTGCGTCACTGTGCTGCCCTGTCTAAAAATAAATAGTAAACAAATTTTAGAATGATATCATTTAAAATAAATTTGAGAAAACCTTGAATTGTAAACAGTTCATAATAAAAAAAAAAGTTTTCAGGAATTTGGAGAAGTCCCTGAGACGAGATGGAAGTCTGATGGTAAAAAAAGAAAAGGCAATAAAATGAAAGAGTTTGGCTAAACAGACCCAGGATGGTTGAACAGAATCCTCCATCAGATGAGAAGAGGACAACACTCCAGCAGCTGCTCTCCTCACTTCCTTCATGTTCGCAGAGTGTTTTTAGAAGAAGAGATGCTTCACAGTGGGAACAATGCAACTGCTCAATGTTTTTGTGACTTGTCGCTGTCACAAAACGCTAATTCATTTTGTCCCAAGAATTGTTTTATGTCATAATTCAATAATTTGATGTGTCTACTGTGCTCCACTATGAATAAACTAAGGCTTCATGAGATTTGCAGCATTCTGGTTTTATTTACATTTTGAACGACGTCCCAACTGGGGGGGGGGTTGCGGTTTCGAAGACACAAAATAACTCGAATGTTCATCACTTTCATACTGCATGATTGTCGTTTCACAAACATCACGAGCCTCGTCCAGCCGTGTCACAGGAGCCTCCGCGTACGAGACTTGAGCCCCGTGGATGACGACTGGTCAGTGTCATTTCGGCGACAGCCACATGACAGCGCTGACGCCTGATGCACAACTGTCTCGCTGTCGCCCCGACATCCTCGCCCGGACTAATGATGACCTTTGATTCCCAAAAGATGTCAGGAGAAGAGAGGAAAACCGCAAACGCGGCCAATTAATTTTGGACGAAGAGGACTGGAACGAGCGAATGCGTCAGGCAGAGGGAAGGAATGGTGAAGGGCTCCAGGAAAGACAGAGCTCAGGATAATTAGGATTCAGAAGGCCCTTTTTGTCAAAGGTAATTAAAGCTGACAGCCACTGTGGAGTAGAGAGGAAGAGAGCAGAACCCTCCCTCTTCAAACTACAGGCCTCACTTTGAACACACACTCTGCATCATCCTCTCAGCTCCACACACACCGACCCTGCAGCAACATCCATCATTCCCACTTGGTCTGAAATTGCAGAGTAAAGCCATTAATACAGACGACAGATCAACTGTGCAGCCGATAAAAACAGTCGTGCAATCCAAAAACAACAGCTCATCATTAGAGCTGATGTTGGCAGCCATCTTTAACGTCGCTCTTTACTTTAAATAATAATGGAAATTTTCTACATGACTTGCCCAATTATCTGTTTAACCATCCGGTGACAAGCGGCTGTCCTGCTCCTCACTTTAACAATTCAGTTATCATAACAGGACTGGATTTATGAGCCGATGGGGTTTATTAAAGCAGCCGTGCACCGTGACGATGCGTCATTTTTCTCGTTTTAAAGTTGCAAAACTCAATATTTTCAAATAAGCAATAGATCAAATGACAGCTGGCAAGAGTGGCTCGTAACGAATGACTAATCTTTTTTTTTTTTGACTAATCATTATGCAGATGAATTACACAAACCCTGTTTTGTTATTTATTTTTTTTATTTCCCCTCCAGCTTCATTTGTATCCAGGAAAATTTATTGACTGAATTTAAGACTTTCACTTTTAAATCAGTGATTGCGGATATGGAGAATTATTCACACCCTTTTAAATTTTATTTTTATGAAAATGCTAATGATACAGTCGTTGATTTATGGCATTTCTGTTGTGGTCAAAATAATTCATGCCTGTTTACCCCCCCTCAGTAATCAGCCATCGTGGCTCCAACCACCTCTTGTAATTGCTAACGAGCACGTTTTCAGTCATTTTCTGATCTGTGTCACGACCTCAGAGTGTTTGTGCGCTGAATGTTGAACAGTTTTATAAATAAGCACAAAT